GTAGGTAAGTACCAATGGTGTAGGTAAGTACCAATGGTGTAGGTAAGTACCAATGGTGTAGGTAAGTACCAATGGTGTAGGTAGAGACCAATGGTGTAGGTAAGTACCAATGGTGTAGGTAATTAAGTACCAATGGTGTAGGTAAGTACCAATGGTGTAGGTAAGCACCAATGGTGTAGGTAAGTACCAATGGTGTAGGTAAGTACCAATGGTGTAGGTAACTAAGTACCAATGGTGTAGGTAGAGACCAATGGTGTAGGTCAGGACCAATGGTATAGGTAAGTACCAATGGTATAGGTAAGGACCAATGGTATAGGTAAGTACCAATGGTATAGGGAAGGACCAATGGTGTAGGTAATTGAGTACCAATGGTGTAGGTAGAGACCAATGGTATAGGTAAGTACCAATGGTGTATGTAAGTACCAATGGTGTAGGCAAGTACCAATGGTGTAGGTAGAGACCAATGGTGTAGGTAAGTGCCAATGGTGTAGGTAAGTACCAATCGTGTAGGTAAGGGCCAATGGTGTAGGTAAGGACCAATGGTTTAGGTAAGGACCAATGGTGAAGTTAAGGAAATTTCATGCTCAGGATGGTTAAATTGGTGCAAAACCCCCTGGAGAGCTATAGGTTTTACCAGTGAACGATTCCACATTATATGGGAAAGGTGAATGATTCCACCATTAAATGATACAGGTGAATGAAATGGTGTAGGTAATTAAGTACCACTGGTGTAGGTAAGTACCAATGGCGTAGGGAAGTACCAATGGTGTAGGTAGGGACCAATGGTGTAGGTAATTACCAATGGTGTAGGTAATTGAGTACCAATGGTGTAGGTAGGGACCAATGGTGTAGGTAATTGAGTACCAATGGTGTAGGTAGAGACCAATGGTGTAGTTAAGTACCAATGGTGTAGGCAGAGACCAATGGTGTAGGTCAGGACCAATGGTATAGGTAAGTACCAATGGTATAGGGAAGGACCAATGGTGTAGGTAATTAAGTACCACTGGTGTAGGTAAGTACCAATGCTGAAGGTAAGGACCAATGGTGTAGGTAGAGACCAATGGTGTAGTTAAGTACCAATGGTGTAGGTAGAGACCAATGGTGTAGGTAAGTGCCAATGGTGTAGGTAAGTTCCATTGGTGTAGGTAAGGACCAATGGGGTAGGTAAGGACCAATGGTAGAGGGAAGGACCAATGGTGTAGGTAGAGACCAATGGTGTAGATAAGGACCAATGGTGTAGGTAAGTGCCAATGGTGTAGGTAAGTTCCATTGGTGTAGGTAAGTACCAATGGCGTAGGGAAGTACCAATGGTGGAGGTAAGTACCAATGGTGTATGTAAGTACCAATGGTGTAGGCAGAGACCAATGGTGTAGGTAAGTGCCAATGGTGTAGGTAAGTTCCAATGGTGTAGGTAAGTACCAATCGTGTAGGTAAGGGCCAATGGTGTAGGTAAGGACCAATGGTGTAGGTAAGGACCAATGGTGAAGTTAAGGAAATTCCATCCTCAGGATGTTTAAATTGGTGCAAAACCCCCTGGAGAGCTATAGGTTTTACCAGTGAACGATTCCACATTAAATGTTACAGGTGAATGATTCCACCATTAAATGATACAGGTGAATGATTCCATCATTATATGATACAGGTGAATGATTCCACCATTAAACGATACAGGTGAATGATTCAATCGTTAAATGATACAGGTGAATGATTCCACCATTAAATGATACAGGTGAATGATTCCACCTTTAAATGTTACATGTGAATGATTCCACCATTTCATGTTACAGTTGATTGATTCCACCATTAAATGATACAGGTGAATGATTCCACCATTAACTGATACAGGTGAATGATTCCACCATTATATGATACAGGTGAATGATTCCACCATTAAATGATACAGGTGAATGATTCCACCATTATAAGATACAGGTGAATGATTCCATCATTAAATGATACAGGTGAATGAGTCCACCATTAAATGATACAGGTGAATGATTCCACCATTAAATGATACAGGTGAATGATTCCACCATTAAATGATACAGGTGAATGATTCCACCATTAATTGATACAGGTGAATGATTCCACCATTATATGATACAGGTGAATGAATCCACAATTAAATGATACAGGTGAATGATTCCATCATTAAATGGTACAGGTGAATGATTCCACCATTATATGATACAGGTGAATGATTCCACCATTAAATGATACAGGTGAATCATTCCATCATTAAATGATACAGGTGATTGATTCCACAGTTATATGAAACAGGTGAATAATTCCACCATTAAATGATACAAGTGAATGATTTCACCATTTTATGATACATGTGAATGATTCTACCCACCATTAAATGATACAGGTGAATGAGTCCACCATTATATGTTACAGGTGAATGATTCCACCATTAAATGATACAGGTGAATGATTCCACCGTTAAATGTTACAGGTGAATGATTCCTCTATGACATTACTGGGAGAGAGCCAGGAGGAAGACAGACGCCAAGTTGCTGACCTTGTTATGGCTAAAATGCAGCACTGCCTTAAACCGGTCGCTTCCATTAGGCAAGTGGCCGATCTGTTGTGGGGCAAGGCTACATCAGACCAGATCTCTCTTTTTTTTCTTCCAAATGTTGCTTTTTCTCTTCTTGATTTTTTTTTTCTTTTCTATTCTTTAAAAGTTTTTTGGATTTTTTGGCGTGTTGCCAAGTTGCTGTGCAAACACTAGTGCATGATGTGTGCTGTTTGTGTACATCTGTCGATGACCGGCATGATGTGTGCTGTTTGTGTACATCTGGCGATGACCGGCATGATGTGTGCTGTTTGTCTACATCTGTCGATAACCGGCATGATGTGTGCTGTTTGTCTACATCTGTCGATGACCGGGGACTTCAAGATTCTCTTCTTGGCTGGAAACACTCTGGAAAAACTGTCACGGTGACCACATTCATCAATGAAAGTCTGCGCTAGCGTAATATCTTAAATAAGATAACACAAAGATCATAATATTCTATTCATATTCTCATGTTAACAGGTTGAAAAGCTGTCTTGAATCAAAAACTGTTTACATTCATTTATTGTTAGATCTTTTAAAACTGAAAACTTAAGCAAATCTGTTTTTAGCTCACCTGCCCGAAGGGCAAGTGAGCTTATGCCATGGCGCAGCGTCCGTCGTTCATTGTCCGTCTGTCCGTCCGTCAACTTTTCCTTTAAAACGCTACTTGTCCTGAACGGCCCTGTAGATTTTGACCAAATTTGGTCAGAAGCATCTTGGGGGAAGGGGAACAAATTTTGTATAAATGGTGGGTGTGGCCCCCCCTGGGGGCTGAGGGGCGGGGCCAAAGAGGAGAAATATAGCAAATTCTTTAAAATCCTTGTTCTTCTGTAGGAATGAAAGGATTTGTTCCATATTTGGTCTGAAGCATCCTTGGGTGAAAAGGAACCAATTTTATATAAACCGACGGTCTGGCCCCCCAGGGGCCTTAGAGGTGGGCCCAATAGGGGAAACATAGAAAATTATTCTTTAAAATCCTTCTCATTCTGTCGAAATTAAAGGATTTGGTCCATATTTTGTGTTGAGTATCCTTGGGTAAAGGGGAACAAATTTTGTATAAATGGTGGGTGTGGCACCCCTTGGACCTGAGGGGCGTGCCCAATAGGGGAAATAGAGGTAAAACTTTTAAAATCCTTCTTCCACCATAGGGATGAAGGGATTTCTTCCCAATTTCGTCTTGATGATCTTGGGCAAAAAGGGACTCAATTTTATATAAACAGTGAGTGTGGCCCCCCTGGGGGCAAATTGGCGGGGCCCATTAGGGAAAACATATCAAGTTCTTCAAAAACCTTATTCTTCTGTACAAATGACAGGATTTTGTCCAAATTTGGTATCAAGTATTCTTGGGTGAAGGGGAACCAATTTTGTATAAACGGTGTGTCTAACCCCCCCTGGAAGCAGAGAGGCGGGGCCCAATAGGGGAATTAGAGGTAAAACCTTTAAAATCCTTCTTCTACCATAGGGATTAAGAGATTTTATCCTAATTTAGTCTGGAGCATATTTGGGCCAAGGAGACTCAATTTTGTATAAGCAGTGGGTGTGGTCTCCCAGGGGGCAGAAGGGCGGGACCCAATAAGAGAAATAGAGGTAAAACCTTTAAAATGCTTCTTCGACCATTGGGATTAAGGGATTTTATCCTTATTTAGTCTGGAGCATCCTTGGGTCAAGGGGACTTAATTTTGTATAAACAGTGGGTATGACCTCCCTAGGGGCATAGGGGTGGGCTCTGTTTGAAGTTTGTTCTCGCTATATCTCAAGTACTGGATGGATCTTTCTGAAATTTCATATGTTCTTATAACAGCACCTACCATTGAGTGCTGTATTTTAACTACCTACCAATTATTTTTAAAACACATTCAGGTGAGCGATACAGGCCCTCTGGGCCTCATGTTGTTTTTCCTAATAACACTTACAAGTTAAAAGGATCAATGGAACAATAGATATCCACTCTTTGTATCAACACTTAATTTGCAATGTTATATTGTTCGGATATTAAAACAGGATTTATTTGTGTTTGGTTTGTTAATGGTACAAACTGACATTTTCTTTTGATTAAAAAAATAACAAAGAGTTTCACTCTAGCACCTCTTCTTTATCACTGTACAAGGCTTGCCCTTTCCAACAAGCCATTTTTATCTTCACAGTAAAATAAAACTTATAATACAGTTTTTTGAGAATCACAGATTTTATCTTACTTTAATTTTAATAATAGGTTAATGGTTACAGATATGTCATTGCTATAATTAGATCAGTGTGACCTACATCTGTATAGATATACAAATGCCAATAAGTACAGTACTATTATTACACCTGATCCATATCTTAAACCTTTAACTCTTTATGTGTATATGTTAATAAATATTAACTGTTATAATATGGTCACTGTGACCTAAATCCATAGCCTAGGATTAGGGCTCTGCCAAATGCCATAAATTGTATGGTTCTGTGTCAAAAATAGGTCATTGTGACCTATATTTTAGAGTTTGTATACCATATTCATTTCAGTATCAATAAGACAAGGTTTTTAAACCATATCTATCGTTATAATCTACATATTAGAATGGGGTAATATTTTCATTTTCTTTTTCTATCCTCAAGTATTTTTGAACACTAACTTTCAAGTATATTTTATGCATGGAAATAACCCTTTAACCCCTATGTAACTTTAGTAGACTCTACCTATGATGCTTTGATCTGGATGAGTCCATTATGGTATACAGTGGTGAAAGGGTTAACAAATGTTTAATGATAGTGATTGGGCTAAGACTGTATGCTACATTTATGCGGCTTGTGTCAAAGTTCTATCCACGCAAGCTTAACATTCTAAAGGGCTGTAAAATACATATAACAAAGAGGCATTTGGATTTTGTTGATTAATTGCTAATATATTGGAAATTATACACAAGATGGTATAATAGCTGTTAATCCTTAGTCATTAATGAATAAAGGGATGTAATTTTATACCAGGAAGGGAGTAGTTCATATGATATAATACATATACTTAATTAACAAAATGCTTGTAATTTTCTAAAAAAACATCAATGCATGGGTAAACAACTTTCACCTGGAGAATATATTCACCAATTGTCCATCTGTCTGTCCATCATGAGCTAAAAAAACAACATCCTTAAAGACCTGTCAGGTCAAGAGTCGTGATATTTGTCATCTAGCTTGCTGGGGGAATGGACATCATAATGTACAATTTTTTTAAAAGTTCAAAAGTATCAAAGTATCTTAACAGCCTCTTTTAGTTAACCATTGGGCCAATAGTTGTGGTAGGGTCATATGATGATTTGCTCTGTCTGGCTTGATTGGATAACTTGCTATCAATTTTGTTCAAATAAATGACCTTGACCTATATTCAAAACCACAGGGTCAATTGTGTTAAAAGTTTAGATGTCTTCTTCTGTCAAGCCTTGATGCCAAGAGTCAAATAATTGGAACTGCAGCTGAATTCAAAGATGCTAAAATATGTTACCTTGATTCACACTGCAGTGGCCAAACATATTTAATCTTCAATCAAGCAAAAAAAACCCACTGCATTGGCCAAGCATGTTTAAGGCAAGGCATAGTGTATAAAGGTATGTGGCCCAAAGCTTGCTAAACTTAAAATCTGTAAACATTGTTCAAATAAGTCACACAAACCTTTGTAATAAACCAGGTGGCCTAGCTAGAGTCAAGATATTTAGTCTGTATCCAGCTGGGAAGTTGTTAAAATAAATTACTCTCATTTATTTTCAAGGACATAGGGGTCCTTGTTTGGTCTGTAGCCTGCTGGAAGAATGGGCTATCAAGTTTATTCAATATAATATTAACCTAACCTACATTTCAGCTAATTCCCATTAAGTTTCTCGGGTGAGCAATACAGGCCCCATTGTTTTGAATACTTACAAAGCAGACAACATTGATAATGTGTGTCAAATCATGTTTAATACATTGTAATCTGAACATGTCTATAGTTCTTGTTGCTGGACATTGGAATGCCATGTACTTTCTATGTATAAAGTAGATACATATATATATATATATATATATATACAATGTATAAGTATGCACTATCTTTCTTCATATTTATATTAAAATTTATTTTTGCATCAAAAAATTCTTTCATATGGTACAACAACCAGCATTTCTTATATATCTGTAGCAGCACACTGTATATAAATTACGCATATTAATATGATATTTTTTACAATTTGAATTTTCATCTAAATCACTTTTTTAAAACTCTATTAATATATTGATTGAAATATCAAAATATGAAATTTTGAATACCATACTGAATCAAACTGGTGATAAACAAAAGCTGTGTAAATATATCATGTACATGTGTGGTTCTGTAGTTAACTTAACAGGTAAAAGGCAAGTGTATTTTACTGATAATTATTACATGAATTCAAATTTAAAAATAGAATAACTAATCTTATTCAATTATTTAAAATTTAAAATATTAAATTTTGAATGTGTATCAGTTTTTTGGTAGTATCTAACACTTACACTTTTTGTCCACATCTTTTCCAGTCGGACATTTAGCTCCGGTGCTGTCATGCACTATGCTACAATGAATGGCAGTAAGCAGGATGTGCCTGCCCCAACTCAGCCCCCTACCCGGCCCCCACAGCCCCAAGGGCAGGGCCAGCCTCGGCCCCAGGGGGGTCAGCCTCCTTCTCAGCAGCAACAGACCCCACACTCACAACCCCAGCCTCATCAACAGCATCCTCAGCATCCACAACAGCCAGGGGCAAGGTCTTCCCAGCTACAGAATCCCTCAAACCCTAACCAGCCGACAAACCCGAACCAGGCGGTAAACCCGAACCTGTCTAACAAACAGCAGCCTGACGGGTACTGGCACAAGCTTAATATTCTCATCAAAGGCAAACCGTTTTAGGGCGTATTGGGTTCAAAGGGAAACAATACTCAAGGAAGTTTAAAGTTTATGCAATAGTGTAGAAAATGTTGTGTGTAGAGTTTATTACAAACTTTTATACCTTTCCATTGACTTGTATTTATCTTGCTGTATGATATATTGCCTTACACTTGAGACTTACTGAATTATAACCAGGTATACATAGTAACCTTCTTAGCCAAGTAGTTACATAAGTATAACCAGGTATATACATAGTAACCTTTTTAGCCAAGTAGTTACATAAGTATAACCAGGTATATACATAGTAACCTTTTTAGCCAAGTAGTTACATAAGTATAACCAGGTATATACATAGTAACCTTTTTAGCCAAGTAGTTACATAAGTATAACCAGGTATATACATAGTAACCTTTTTAGCCAGGTAGTTACATAAGTATAACTAAATTATAACACAACAGTTACATGATTATAGCCAGGTAGTTTAAAATTATAACCAGGTAGTTACATTATGATAGTTTTAATGAAGCCCTATTAAACAAAATTGTATTTGATAATGATGATTACCCTTTTTGAGAGAAACATCCTATTTGTGTTTCTCTTTTTCAAAAGTAACATAACATGCTATCTATCTATGTTCAACAACCCTGTTATCATCATCTATCTATGTTTGACAACCCTTTTATCATCATCTATCTATGTTTGACAACCCTGTTATCATCATCTATCTATGTTTGACAACCCTGTTATCATCATCTATCTAAGTTTGACAACCCTGTTATCATCATCTATCTATGTTTGACAACCCTGTTATCATCATCTATCTAAGTTTGACAACCCTGTTATTATCATCTATCTATGTTTGACAACCCTGTTATTATCATCCATCTTCTTTTGATTGGACTTCGGCCAGAAAAATGTCAACATCTCTATCATTGACTTAACAATCAATGTCAAGTTTCGTCCATTGTGTCTACCTTGGATGGGAATTGCAACCTTAGCAGTGTAGATGAAATTTTCATTAGCTGTACGTGTACATGTACTGATACATGTAGCACTCATTTCTTGAACTTTATAATTTCTCTGAAGTTCAAGTCAGAATTATAATTAATAGTCAAGGAAGTATTTATATAAGATGGTTGTTTCACACAGCCTTCATGACCCAGAATCAAAGGTCAAGGTTACTAATACAGGTCATGGGACAGTAACAGAACTTCTGAAAGGTCAAGGTTACTGTTACAGGTCTTGGGACAGTAACAGAACTTCTGAAAAGTCAAGGTTACTGTTGCCGGTCATTGGAAAGTAACAGAACTTCTGAATGGTCAAGGTTACTGTTACAGGTCTTGGGACAGTAACAGAACTTCTGAAAGGTCAAGGTTACTGGTACAGGTCATGGGACAGTAACAGAACTTCTGAAAATTCAAGGTTACTGTTACAGGTCATGGGACAGTAACAGAACTTCCGAAAGGTCAAGGTTACTGTTACAGGTCATGGGACAGTAACAGAACTTCTGAAATTTCAACCAAGATTTGACTACTTTGACATTCTGGGCTCCAACAATGATTAAGGTCACAATAAGAGGTCATAGGTCAAATTGTTAATGATCAAAATAAATTAATCATATCTCCTCTAAACAAGTAAGGATATAACATTCAAACTCATTATTAGTTGTTTTATTGATCAGAATGAAATTTTCAAAAACACTAGATTAGGGTTTTAAATAGGTGTCCCTTTTAACTCAGAAGAGGACGGAATGCTCCAGAAAGACATGGAAATTTGAGTTTCGACTTCCGTTGCAGGGTCCCTCCCGGTAATCGCGTTCCTGGCCAGAGGAGCTCAGAAGATGAGGACACCATGAAAAACTTACGTAGAACGTTTGCTGGAATATTCGGAGACATGTAGAGGATCACCAGCATCATAACATCGACAGTATCATAATACTGGACAACAATACATCATCCTACCCCCGACATCTGTGGGGGACTGTCCTTATATCAGAGACTGATCTCTAGAGATTGATGGTGCCACACTACTTATAGGGGTGGATTATAGAGTATATATGGTATAACACTACTTATAGGGGTGGATTATAGAGTATATATGGAACTACACTACTTATAGGGGTGGATTATAGAGTATATATTGTACTACACTACTTATAGGGGTGGATTATAGAGTATATATGGTACTACACTACTTACAGGGGTGGATTATAGAGTATATATGGTATAACACTACTTATAGGGGTGGATTATAGAGTATATATGTTACTACACTAATCATAGGGCTAGTTTATAGATTATTTATGGTACCATACTATTTAGAGGACACTAGTTTTTAGGGATGATTAAGTGATTATTTATGGTACCATACTATATGGATCTATGAACACCTATGGTACGACAATAAGTATTATTGACAGCAGTAATTTAACTAGGTCAACATTAGTTAAACCTCCAAAACAACTGCTGATGTCAAGGTTATCTTGAAAAGGTCAAGGTCATTAGTTAATACTGGTTCTACTGTTAGATACAAGTTACTTTCAAATATAAATACATCATTAGCACCAGAATTATATTTCTGGAGACAGACTTGTGACGTGCAATATTTCTTTAAGTGTATTGGGGTAGGGTAGCTGTATAGTTGTATATAGATGTTCATATAGATCTCATAGGCTGCCTCTACATTGTACAGGGTTATTTTATGTATATCATTTACACCATTCATTTGTTTATAGGCAAGTAGTCATTTTTATATAACATATTCTTAGGGTTGTACATGGGTTTAATTTAGTGATAAGATGCTGTGTTTTGATGTGATATTATAATGAATCATAATAATTTTCAGCATATTGTTACTGTAAATAGTCAGTAGATTTAAGACAATTGAATTTGTCTCCCCTTATTCATATTATATATGAACACCCTAGTAAGCTCCCCTGATTCTAAAGTGAATACATTTCCACAGTTCACTTAAACATGTCACAAATAATTCTGTTTTTATTCAAACATTTGAAAATCAAATTTTGTTTACTTGTTTATACTGCAATATTTATGTTTTTTGAACAATCGTTTGTAAGATAGTCACAAATTAAAAGATACAAGTGCCATATTTTGTAAGATCTTACATTTTCTTTTAACATTCCATTTGTTTGTTATGAATTGGTATTTCTTTTATTGTTACTGTTTTAAATTTGTTTATCATAATCATTATCAATTAGACACAGTGAAACCTCTATACAATCGTACCAATAATTAAACACAGTGAAACCTCTATTCAATCGTTCCCATAATTAAACACAGTGAAACCCCTATACAATCATACCCATAACTAGACACAGTGAAACCTCTATACAAGCGTACCACTAATTAAACACAGTGAAACCTCTATATAATCATACCCATAATTAAGCACAGTGAAACCTCTATACAATCATACCGATAATTAAACACAGTGAAACCTCTATTCAATCGTTCCCATAATTAAACACAGTAAAACCTCTATACAATCATTCCCATAATTAAACACAGTGAAACCCCTATACAATCATACCCATAACTAGACACAGTGAAACCTCTATACAATCGTCCCCATAATTAAACACAGTGAAACCTCTATTCAATCGTTCCCATAATTAAACACAGTAAAACCTCTATTCAATCGTTCCCATAATTAAACACAGTAAAACCTCTATTCAATCGTTCCCATAATTAAACACAGTAAAACCTCTATACAATCATTCCCATAATTAAACACAGTGAAACCCCTATACAATCATACCCATAACTAGACACAGTGAAACCTCTATACAATCGCACCCATAATTAAACACAGTGAAACTTCTATACAATCATACCCATAATTAAACACAGTGAAACCTCTATACAATCGTTCCCATAATTAAACACAGTAAAACCTCTATACAATCGTTCCCATAATTAAACACAGTGAAACCTCTATACAATCATACCCATAACTAGACACAGTGAAACCTCTATACAATCATACCTATAATAAAACACATGTTCAAAAAGAACAAATGAGTGTGTTTAACATCAGAAGCTGTTAATTTCGTTACTTTTATGTTCATTCTCAATAATCTTTACTGAAATACTGAAATGTTAAAATTATGTACGCAGGTGTCTTTGTGATTAATGAATGTATGCTACCTTAATATAGGACTTGTATTATGGTAAGTGGTAAACTCATGTGCTGGACGGGGGCAACAGAATCAAGCACATTATGGATCTTTGAGGTTTCGCTGGAGAAACAAAAATTTACTGATTTTCTCATTTGGTTAAAAGCTCAGTTGTGACATCAAAATCAGGTGTGATTGTTCATCAGTCAGTTATAAAAAGTACTTGTGGTGACAGTGAGGGAGTCGGTGAAGACATGGTTTTTATGTATTCAGGACATTTATATTTCATTTTAGTATTCGTAACACAGTGAAAGTTTAAATGTGTGTAAATAAGTTAAATGTTTGAAATAATTAACGTTTTATACCGGTGTCCTATGAAATATTTATCCCCATAAGATACCTATCTGGATGATACTTTATGGGGGATGAACATTTTACATAACACCGGGAACAGACATACCAAGATCATTTAACAGTATGCAATCAAGTAAGATCTTGTGGTCATGTTCATTCAGCTTCTGTAGTGTATTGTATATAGCCTTGTTGAAACATATATACCAGATAATAACTTCTGTAAGAAAGGTTTTCAAGGGGAGATAACTGCATTGAAAAACAGCACTTGTTTTTGTCTTTTGTGTAAAGGAACTTCAAAAATGTCATAATTTATTGGAGTTTTCTCTTAGAAGTTGATGTTGACAAGCTTTTAATGGATTTCTGAGTACCTGTATGTATATATCCTCCTGCTGTATGCTGTAATATTGAGTATCATAGGAAGAGATCAAATGTGTGGTCCAATTCGACCCAATTAAAACCATCTATATTTTCACAAACAGTTTTCAGATCAATACCTTGATTTTACAATTTATCATACACAACAATATATTGTTTTCAAAATACGTGACGTCGTTTAATTTAATGATGCCATTTGTATGATTTTTATATTGTTTTCATAGAAATTGGTGAAAATTATAATTTTCTAAACTTTAAAAGGCTTTCCTCCAAATTATACACATGTCAATGGTTGTAAGATGATTTTTTCCCCCCACAAAATATGCATTGTTATAGGACAAAACATTTGGTAGAATTTTATTTGTCAACGCAATTGTTCTGAAGCTCTTTAACTCATTCACCCCTGAAGTCACATTTGTACCCTTCCAATTCAAAGGTTGGAATAGTTCATTTAGAAACTTCAGGGGTGAATGAGTTAAAAGTATAAACCGTTTAAAATGTTTCAAATAAAAAAGGAATAAATAGGCAAAAAACACATATCACTTACAACAGATATATGCACAATTCGTTTTTGGTTTTTTTATATCGCTCATTAAGATAAGGTCATTAAGGGCCTAGGGGTCATATTTGGCCATATTGTATCTCTTCCTGTCAATATCGTGACTATCTGATAAATTGATTGATAATGCCTCAAGTTCTGACCCTTGCGGACCTGTGTTATTATTTATCATTTTTACCTCTTTAACATGTGTATACTCTCTTATAACATGATATTTTTAGAATATTTGAAACAATTTGACAAACATTACCCACCGTTATCACTTTTTTTCCATGATTTTTTTTATTTACAAATATATGATCTATTTAAAAAGTAGGATAAGCTAATGTTAGAATCATAATGCCAACAAAAAATATATCCGTTTTTACATAAATTATATAATTAGATAATAATCAATATATACAATATACCCCCCTGTTGTTGTTGGCTTGGTGAGTTATCCCCCCTGTTGTTGTTGGCTTGGTGAGTTATCCCCCTCTGTTGTTTTTGGCTTGGTGAATTATCCCCCTGTTTTTGTTGGCTTGGTGAATTATCCTTTGTTCATGTTACCTCAGATCTTACTTTATTGAGAGAATTATTATTGTTTTGACCTTGTTTTGTGATATTTTAGCAGACCCTGATGATATTTTATTAATATATTTATTGATGTTGAGTCTAGTGATGAACCTTGTTGCTATTACACTGTACATTCCTATTGTATTGATTTTATTGATCAATGTTGTTCGATTTTTTAGATTTTTTACTTATTTGTTGGAATTCTGTTATGTGAATTTTAAACAGCAGAGTTAGAAGCTGATCTGATTCCACACAGCTGTTTATATTTTGTGACACCCATCTTGGTTTATTACAAATTTAACTTATAAAATATTCCCCTCTAGAACTGTTCAGCAGACTTAAATATATCATGATGATACTTGGGACAAGATGATACAAATGTTATAAAGCTACTGGTACGGGGATCCATTGTGATTGAGGGGCATACATTGAGGAACTACTGGTCCCATTTAAACAGTTCACCCTCCATGGTATTGCTGGATACCTATAGGACTCATTGATGTGTGGAATTGTATAAGTTACGTGGTTTGGTCATTTGCTCACCTTTTTGAATATTTGAATGTAATGCCCAAAGTGAAGGGCATCATTGTGATTGATACCTGTCTGTTATTAGAATATAAAACATATGTTTATGGATATTTGAACAGACTGATGTTTTCTTAGTTTATCTTACGCCACATGTCCTGTGTAATCATTATGTGTTCTACGTGTAATCTTGGTAGAAAATTCTGCAAATGTGTGTGATAGTGATTTTACATACTTAATGTGTGAGCTTTTACTACTCTGACATAACACAGGTTATGAATATTCATTAAGGTTATGATGTCAATAATAATGAATATTCATTGAGTATATAATGACAGTTAAATGCATATTCATTATGTTAATTATGTTAATATTGAGGAATATTCATTAAGTTTATGATGTCTGATAATGAATATTCATTAAGTAGGATGTCAGTGATAGTGAATATTTATTAAATTTGTGGTGTCAGTTATTCATAGTTATCATCATAACATGCATCTATCTATAAGATATTGTTATTTTATGTTGCAATTCATTTAATAGAATGCAATAGGAAAATAAAAAAATTACGAAATTGATCAATTTCCTGTTTTGTTTTAAATGATTGAAAGAATTTATCATTTTGTCAAGCAGTATTGGTAGAAATTAGCACAATGTTGATTGTAAAAGAAATTATTTTATCAAGCGCTGCTCCTAGAGAAACATTATTGATGGAATGTTTGGCTCTGACCGACACATGATGCCCAGACTCCAGAATGGATCCCTCACCTCCCAGTACAAGGGAGGTAATTCTAACATGTAGACTAAAAAAACGACTGGGGCCTGTAGCCAAAGACACTTTGCAAAAGAGCAATCTATAGTTTTAAACATGACGAAAAATGTATCTTTAAAAATATTGTCTAGTTATCATTTCTTCAAAAGGTATTAAGGAGGAGGAATACAACTAAAGTCATAATTCGTTTTAATATTTGGAAAAACCGAACACTCATACAACACACTGAACAACCTTTCCATGATTGTCAGAAGATTAAGATTTGACAACGTTGTAAGATGTGAATGTCAATTTAATAAATACTAATGCTACAGTGACAAAATATAAGAAAGTCAAAACTATTAAACAAAGTAAAAAAAAAAAAATCCATTCCTAAACCGTAAAAAGATATTTTTTGAAATTGCAGATCAGATGGATGATCAGCCGTTTAGAATAAAAAAAATATAAAGCGCCTTAAATGGCATATCGTTTAAGTGAACGCAGATTAAAGAGAAACTGAAGAAAAGGCCCACAAAAGGCTTCTTTGGTTCGAAAGCTTTTAACTAAATTAACAAAGACAGCTTGTGATATTTTGATACGGAACTTCTTCGTTTGCATTGGATTCCGACACTTCTCAAGAGTCTTCACCAACAAAATTTCATCTCTGGCTCTGTCAATTGCTCAACCAAGCCAATATCCAAACTTTAACTTCTATTCTAAGTAACAAACTTAAGTTCAGGGTACAATTCTTAATAAGCTGTACATTCTAGAATTCATATTAACGGCATGTGGATTTTTAAGAACTCGAATGATCTGTTGATAATTTATCAACATCCTCCAATTTGTTTCTCCCTTTGAAAACATCTATCTAACTGCAAGAACGCCATACTCTCTTATTATGAGGGCTTTCATTTCCAAGATAGGCGAATGGCAATTACAATTGATAGTGAACCATATTGAAGCATATTTTGTAAAATAAAAACAAAAAAACAAAACATGACAAAGATAAAGTATACTATAAATGACATTGTGAGAATGGTGGAATTCCTTGCTGAACATATTGTTGAGTTCAGTGGTAAGATTGATCAGCAGATTTCAAGGCCTGATCAGGACGGGTGA